TTTTTTTTTTTTTGGACCATTTCTCGATTTATGCGTGGTCGTCCTTGCGCAGCGGCCATGCTAATCTTCTCTGTATCATTCCAATTTTAATGGATGCCCCCTGTCTTTTTTCTACTGAAAACAACTGCAAGGATTTTTTGATGGTACCAACAGGCCTAGCTCAGCTGAAATAAGACCTCTGCTGAGGGCATGCGGATCCGACAGCTTTTTCTGAATGTATCTGACAACTTTTTCTGAATGCATCTGACATCTTTTTCTGAATGTGTCCGACAGCTTTTTCTGAATGTATCTGACAGCGTTTTCTGTTGAAATACCGACCCAAGTTCGAAACCAGATGCAGTCAAAGTCAAAATGAACACAACAACGTACTTCTGAATTGCCTCGGGCTGGTCAGTTCAAAGATGGCATCTCAAGGCCGATGACCTTTCAAAAAAAAAGGGAAAGAAAAGAGAGAGAAAAGAGGAAATTTTGAGGGTGCTGAAAGTGTGACCTGTCATTTATGCTGCTCTTGTGTGTGTGCAGCTGCAATCTTGTGAGAAATTGGAGAAAGTGCAAAAAACTTGGCTCACAGTTTCGGAGAAGGCTAGACGGAGGCGAAGCAGTCTGATGTCTTCCTTGAAGAAAGTACAGGACTGCCGAGCGATGTTGAGCGAGAATTTCGGCGATGTAAGCCATTGTCTCAAAGTCGGCGTTTCAACCTTATATTTGTTTTTCGTTTTTTTTTTTTTTTTTTTTTTTTTTTTTTTTTAACTTTGAATTTTGGAGTTTATAACTTTGTAATCTTTTTGTTTTTTTTTTTTTTTTTTTTTTTTTCCCAATCTTCACAAATTTTACCATATCTCACTTGTCATTTTTTCTTATTCATATGACATGACCTTCTGAATGAATGTGAAATGTCCTGATACTACTACCGCCTCCCCCCTAACACAACATGGCCTCATTTTGGCTGCGCTGGACCAGAAAGATAGCTTGTATACATTCGTTATCGGGGTGCGTTGTGTTCGGTGAACGACGGCAGGATAGAGACTCTATAGTACTGAATGATTTGTACTGTAGTGGGGGGACAAAGTAGGGATGAGATGCCCTGTGATGTTTTACTACCCACATGGCACTCGAGGGTCAGTGCAGCGAAATAAAATCTCTCTGCGTGGCCGAATGGTACAAAAAAATATGTGACTCGTTAATAAACAGATAACGAGTTCGAGTCCTGATGGAACCAGATGGACCCCAAAGGGAAAAAAAAAAAAAAAGGTTTGAAATTCGAATTTCACTACCTCAAAATATATGTGCTTCCTCCTCCTCCTCCTCTAAGGGCATATGCTCACACTAGGAGTTTTTTTGTAAGTGCTCTCTGGATGTGATTAAGGCCACATACATCCAGGACTGGCCGTAAAAGCTGTCAGATACATTCTGGAAAGTACTAGTGTGAGTATGGCCCAGGAATTGACCATCACCTTCCTATGCCGAATTTCTACTGACAAGGAGTTTTCACACTCTTTTGCTTTTTTTTAAAGGCTTTTTCAGTTTTTAAAAAAAACTTTTTTTCTTTTTTCTTTTTTGGCTTTTTTAGTTTTTCAATAACGAATTTTTCGAAGTGTTAAGCTTTTCCTTTTTTTTTGTGTGTGTAAAGTTGTAAACAGGTCCTTGTGGACCTGGCTCCATATCCATTCTGGGGAGTGAACGTTCTTAATTAATTTTTAATAGGTTAACCACTAGGTTACCAGCCGGGCCGCCCGGGTCACCCTATTTTCCCGGGCAGCCCGGCCATGCAAGGACTCCAGAAGGTCCCAGCCAAAAAAAAAGAGAAAAAAAATTCCAAAAAATCCGCAAAAAAAAATTCCAAAAAATCCGGAAAAAGAAATCCCAAAAATCCGGGAAAAAAAAATCCAAAAAATCCCAAAAAAACTATGTTATGCAGAAAAATAAACTGAACAACTTTTGCCTCAGGGTCACATCGAACTTCCTTACCAGATTTTAAATAAAATTTTAAATTAAGAAATAATTATTTGTTTTTTATTTTCTTCTTCTTGGCCCGGTCAGGCAAGTGGACCCGGGCCACTCTGGTAGCCTAGGTTAACCAACATTTTAATACTCTTTTTTTTTTTCACTGTTAGTGATAATTAGGTCCTCGTTAGACACTCCTCTGGGACTTGATTCCAAGGATATGGGACTTGATTCCAAGGATATGGTTGTTGTTCCGCCTGTACTCGGCTATGAAATAGGAAATGAAAATGTGAAAACACTGCACGAAGACCAATCCTTGGGCTTTGAGGATTTCCCAGCCATTTCGTCCTCGGCGCCAAGGGACCTCGTGGACCTCGTGGAGGTCCCTTGGACCCCCGGGGGTCAGTGTTTCACGGAGAGGAGAGGGCATGCATGAACTGGTACGTTACAAGTGAGAATCCAGATCGTCGCGGCATCCTATTGGTCGAAAGCCTGAAGCGCAACTGTTTTTTTTTTTTTTTTTTTCCCTGATATTGCTCTTAGTACTAGTCCTAAAGCCCATGCTCCAAGTATGAGTCGAACGAAGACTATGAAAACCCTAAAATTTTCCAAGGATTCATCCTTGGGCCGTCGAATGAAGACTATGAAAACCCTAAAATTTTCCAAGGATTCATCCTTGGGCCCAAGGACGGCCCAAGGAGTGTCTAACGAGGCCCTTAGAGTTTAATAGTGTTTTAATTTTTAAACTGTCTTTTTTTTTACTAACTTTTTTTTTCTTTTTTCTTTTAGCTTTATTGAAGTTTATTCATCGTAAGAAACGACTTCAAAGTTCAAAGTGAAAAAAAAAAAAGACTTCTTAACTTTATTTTCTCTTGTTGTTGTTCTTTTGTTTGTCTTTTTCTCAGGTACAGGAAGCAGCCATCGCCGCTGCCTGAAAAGCCATTCAGAAAATTGTATCGAGTCTCTCCAACCTTGGTGGGAAGGTATGTTGATGTTGTCCTTTTTCTTTTTTTTTTTCCTTTCCTTCTAGGATACCAGCTGGCCCGGCCGTGCAAGGGCCAAGGAGGGTCCCAGCAAAAAAAAAAAAAAAAATTGAAAAGTTCTGAAAAACAAAACTAGGTTATGCAGAAAAATAATGCCTGAGGGGCACATCGCAATTCATTTCCAAATTTTAAATACAAAATAAAGAGGTTTTCATTATTAGTTTTTTTTTTTTTTTTTGGCCCGGCACCGGGCAAGTGGTCCCGGTCCAGTCTGGTAGCCTAGCTTTAAGTTTTTTTCCTTTTTTTTGCTTTTTTCTTTTTCAGCCTTCTGCTTTTCCAGATTGAAGTGATTTTTTTTTTCTTCTTCTTTTTTTTTTAACGGAACAATGTCTTTATAAAAGCTGGGAACCGGACCCGGCGTCCCTTACAAAATTTGGTGGGGCCCTCAGTTGGCAAGGCATCATCGGCCAAACACATAGAGGACACCACTAGATTTAACCCCACAGCCAACTCCCCAACCAACTCCACAGCCCCAACAACTCAAAAAGTCAACCACAATTATCATCACAATCTAAATTATCCCTAAGAAATGAAAATACTAAGAAAATCTAAAGTTCATCACTAAAAAGTTAAAAGCTGTAATCACAATAGTCATGTCAACCCTAAGTTAGTGACCTAAATTCCACCAACCTGAAAATTTAAAACGAATCAAAACCATATACCTTTCTCGGCCTTTTGGCTAAGATCAAGTGTAGTATCTGTTCTGATCAGTTTAATATCTGATCCGTGGTCCATGGGGCCGCATAAAAAAAAAAAANTCACAATCAATACTAGACCTAAGAAATGAAAATACTAAGAAAATATGAAGTTCATCACTAAAAAAGTAATCACAATAGTCATGTCAACCGTAAGTTTAGTGACCTAAATTCCACCAACCGGAAAAAACAAACCAAAACCACAAATAAGAAACGAGCGATCAGCCCTGCGTGATCATGTCCACCATTCATCCGGAGTTATTACCAACCCCTGCCAATCCGCCCTACCACCCGTGCGGCAGGGGTCTGTGAAGTGATTTTTATAAGATGTGAAATGTGGATCTTTTATTCCTTTTTTTAATGTAAGAGGGTTAGCTTATATATATCATTGCATTCGTCTGAGTCCATGGGGAGTCGAGTTTCCAACTCATGATCTGTTTCCTAACAGATACAGGTGTGACCCATTCAACCCCATGTGCATGTGAGTTTTTGCAATGTGCATCACTCCTCTACTCGCCACATGCACAAAAGACAAAAAATATACGGCGGTGTATCTTTCCATGTTGTAGCGGAAGATTCATTCTCGTTTTGCACATTCAATGATCAGTGCAGCGAGGCCCAACGCCGTGTGCACAACACTATTTCTTACAATTCTGTGTGGCCTTGGCTGTGTTTTGCATTCAGGGACACAAGACTGTAAATCCGCGAGGGCTGTGCTTGCGATGGATCTGCTGTGCCGTCCATGGCACAGAGCACAGACCATGATATGATAGTCTGTACATGAAGGTCTCAAGTGTAAGTGAGTACATTGTCCATGCCTCTAGACTCTAGCGTCTAGAGTCCAGAGTCTAGAGTCTAGAGACTCTAGAGTCTAGACACAGCACATGGAAGGTAGTACGTGTAATTTTCTGGCACGTGTAATTGGCATATGTTTGGGGTGCAGGCCACTGTGAAGTAGAGGCTTCTGGCACTGTTGTCCAAAGCCATGTTATGTACTTGAGAGCCTTAGAGGTGAAATAAAGTCGAAACGCAAGAGGTAGAAGTCAGCCGTTGTAAATCTGTCATCTTCTTTTCGTCTCATTGGAGTGTATACTGCGGCCAGATAGAGCCAGATACAGCGCAATTGCATGGAGGTCATCCACTCTCTGGTCCCTGTCGGAGATGCCAACCCACCCACCATCGCTGCGCAAGCAAGCTCTATGTTGAACTCCCTGTAAAGTCACAAAATGTGTAAAGGTCGACGATACAGAACATGTTGAGTGAATGGACATGTGTGCATGCATGCAGCATGCACTCACGAGAGAGAGAGAGAGAGAGAGAGAGAGAGAGAGAGAGAGAGAGAGAGAGAGAGAGAGAGAGAGAGAGAGAGAGAGAGAGAGAGAGAG